TTTTCAGGCTGGCCAAGCCCCCTGGCGATGTAAGTTCCCAGCCTCTCCGTTTTTTCTTTTTCTTTTTTTATTCTGGGATTTATTTACTTTCTATAATTGAAACTTTGCAGCCTTGAGTGGAACTCAGAGCCGGCCAGGGGGGGGCAGGAAGCTTGGCTTCCTCCATTGCCAGGGGCAACCCAAGCCTGCTCGCTCCAGCTCCGTGGCCATGGCCGGCTGAAAGCAGGCATCTGGGGTTTATTTATCTTCTATAATTGAAACTTTGTTGCCTTAAGTGGAGCTCAGAGCTGCCGCGGCAGGCGGGAAGCTTGGCTTCCTCCATCACTGGGGCAACCAAGCCTCCTGCTTGCTCCAGCTCCGTGGATGCCGGCCGCCATCTTGGTTGGGTTAATTTGCATATAGTCGCTCTGATTGGCTGGTGGGCATGGCTTAAGGCATAGTGAAGGTACAGTCAATTTGCATGTTTGTCTTTTATTAGTGTAGATGATGTTTCTTTGTCTTTGCACTTTGGCTGCTTCCCTGTGTTTGTTTCTATGTATTAGGTAGAGCTGTTATGTCTTCTGGAATTGGTAGAGTGGCCTTGTGTAGTAGGTGTACTGTAGGGCCCAGTGGGTCAGCCTCCCCAGTCACCTGAGCTGGACACTCTAGGTGCAGCCCTGTGTGAGCTGTGTGCACAGTCTTGTTGTAGTTGAGCCTTGATTGCTCTTGGTATCACTGGGAATTGGAGGAATTGACCTGCTGTGCAGGAGACACCCCTATGTAGCAGGATTTGCTTCAGTGGAGCTTTGGTGCTCACTGAGTCTGCCCCTTGAGTGTGTTGCTGTGGATGTGTAGAGTTGTCATCTCATATGGTCTGAATCTGTCCACTGGGTGCATTGGCTGTAGGGCCTCCCGGGAAGTGCAAAGTCAGCCACTTCCTGGGGCCACCCAGCAGAAGCTACAAAGAGATCTGCAGATGGCTGCTACTTGTATTGGGCTAGGAAGTTCCCAGGTGAGTCCTAGCTGTGAAGCAAAACGGGCTAATGCTAGTGCTGGGTCTTAGGCCTCTTATTGATAGTTTTGGGGCATGCTGACTCCAGCTGCTGCTTGTTTGAGTGGTTTTAGGAAAGTCTGAAGCCTGAGCCAGCACAGGCCATTCATATGGAAAAGCTGCTGCAAACAGCTTGGGTGGGGCTGCAAATTGGATGGGGCGGGGTCTCAGGGAATCACCAGAGGGAGCCAGCAGTATGGGCCACACTGAGGGAAACTCAGATATGGCTGCCAGTCAGCTCTGTGACAGGGGAGGTCCCAGCATAGGAACAATGACCCCTGCGAGCACTCCTGTCTGGGAGAAAGCCTCCCCCGAGTTCCTGCCCCAATGCCAGACAACCCAGTTCCTCCAAGTATGTTCATTGATCCCCCAAAGCCACCACCCAGTTTGGGAACTCAGAGGGAGTGGGACTGTGTAAGTTTGTGCTCAGTCCCTTTGAGAGGAACTGTCTGGGACTCTAGCAGCCTCTGTGTCACTCAGGAAAAGTCCCTGCTGTGTTTTTTAAAAAATGTATCTTTTATTGTTGATAGCATTACAGATATCTCTTATTTTTACTCTTTCCCCACCTCCTCCCAGCCTTTCCCCCCAGACACATACAGCCCCCCCGCCCCAGACTTCACCAACTTATCACCTGTGTCTATGGGCTATGCACATAAGTATATAAGTTCTTTGGCTTATCTCTTTTTGTCACCCCAACCCCACATATCAGTCTGTTCCATGTTCCCCGATGGTTTTTACAGCCCGAAGTTAGGGGAACTTCTCTTCCCAGCTTTGGAACCCTGGGCTGAGGGTCTGTTGATGGGCTGGGATGCCTTGCTCCTAATGGGAGGCCTTTGCCATCACAATATCCCTCCTGATTAAAAACATGCCACACGTGGGTGTGGGACCAGCCTGGTCCTCGCCTCCACCCTTCCTATCAGTCTCGATGTGCTTTCTTCTCTAGTTGTCGGACTTCCATTCAGCCAGATTTCAGGTGGTTCTGAGTGATGGTTGTTCTGTATTTTAGTTGTAATTTTGAGGTGGTTGTGGGAGGTGGCGAGTACCGGCATTTACCTACACCGCCATTGGCTCTCTTTGGTCGGGTCCTAAATAATTTTTTATTTTTCAGTTACAGTTGACATACAATATTATGTTAGTTTCAGGTGTACAACCAGTGATTAGACATTAACTTACTAAGTCGTCATCCAGATAAATTTCACATCCATCTGACACCATACATAGTTATTACAACACTATGGACTATATTCCCTATGCTGTACTTTACACCCCTGTGACTATTTTGTAACTACCAATTTGTACTTCTTAATCCTTCCCCTTTTACACCCATTCCCCAACTCCCTCCCCTCGGGCAACCTTCAGTACACCTGAAAATAATGCAAAATAATATTGAATGTAAAATTCTTACTGAAAAATAGAATAAACTAAAAAAGAAAGATGCTCTTCCTTTAACAGGGGGCCTGTCCTCCAGGAACCCACAGTCTAGAGTTTGTTTAAGGTGATTTGAATAACAAAACTACAAAGGAAATAGGAATAAAAAAAAAATCTGTGTTATTTTGTATACATTCTCTGACTTCCCCTTTGCCCAAGTGATACAATCCCCAAATAGTAGAGCCATGCACTGATGCATTTAACTCAAACAAATTCAAACACAGAGTAAGTGTGCATGTATTTGGTTGCAAATCACTAATGTGTTAGTGTGAACATCGCAGCTTATTTCTCCCACTCTTCCACCTACTGGGCATTGCTTCTGGGTGAGATGGGGCGGGGGGTGGGGGGACTGCCTCTCCTGCTCATTCTGTTTCCACATGCCCTTCCTATTACCTGCCCCTCTATGTGCCATTCTAGTGTTTACATATACGTGTTTCTTGTGCATTATGAACCTGACACAAGCCAGCTACTTCTCATGGCGCCCCATGTAAGGAACAGCATTCTGTTCCCAAACCCGGCAACGTAAGTGATGCTCAGGGAGTGTAATGTTGAGTATATGTGACTTTTGGACCCAGTTACTTTAGAAAGTTAACTAGTTTGTAAGACCTAACCTCCGTGTACCCAGTTTGACTTCAGCTAGGATAGGGGCAGAAGCAAAGGCATTGTTACTTTGCCAGAAAGCCTTTACTTGCCGTGAAGCCAAGTTTTAACCATCTCTCTCTCCCTCTCCTCTCTTCCTCCCACTTTCCTTCTCCCCGCCTCCTCCCTTTGTTTTCTCTTTTGCAGTCTGCTGTTTTGTTGTGCACAAGCGGTGCCATGAATTTGTCACGTTCTCCTGCCCAGGCGCCGACAAGGGTCCAGCCTCTGATGTAAGTAACGGGCACTGGTCACCTCTCTTTGTCCACAGTCATCGTGAGTGAGGACCCTGAGACAAAGAAGTTGGGATGGTCTCATGCCAAGGCACGTAGAGGTCCTTACGGCCTCTGGGACGTTTTTCATTTTAATGGAAAAAAAGAAAACATTTTAGATGGGGCTGTGATTGTACAGGAAACCTGCTAGTTCTCCTACTATGATGTTGCCAAATGTCTTTACAATTTTTTATTAAATTTATTGGGGTGACATTGGTTAACAAGATTATATAAAAGTTTCATAAACATCTTCTCATCTTGACAGCGGGGGCATGGAGAGTGGTGGGCGGGGCCGAGCTGTTCCCACTGCTGTGGAAAGGTGGTTGGAATCGTACCTTCCTTGCATGCACTTGATGGCTCTTTGCTGGGGACATGCTGATACCAGGGCCCAGGAACTAGGAGGACATGACTTTGTCCCGTTACTGCCCCCCCCCCCCCCCAGTATGACTACTGAGGCAAGGGATGCGTCTAGGTAAAACAGCCAAATAATTTTTGCTTTAATTGTTATGAATTTATTTGAACGTGGATTGGAAAAATGTATCTAGTAGTGGTTTTGCCTTTGTAATAGGGATGTAAAATTTCCTACCTAAGTCAAGGTAAACCAAAGATGTATTGATTTAAGGAACATGTTAAGTGAATGATGGTATGGATACTATAAGGTTATGTATGGCAGAACCCTTGGTATGAGGTTTTTTGTTGTTGTTGTTGTTGTTTGTTAATCCTCTCCTGAGAATATTTTCTCATTATTTTTAGGGAGAGTGGAAGAGAGAGGGAAAGACAGAGAGCAACATTGATGTAAGAGAAACACATCGATTGGTTGCCTCCTGCACGAGCCCTGACCACGGCCTGGGCTGGGGAGGAGCTTGCAACCCAGGTGCCTGCCCTTGACCGGAATCGAACCAGGGACCCTTTGGTCCACTGGCTGACACTCTATCCACTGAGCCAAACTGGCTAGGGCTGGTATGAGTTGATGTAAAGTTTAGGTACCTTGTTGATTGCCTCCCGGCAGCCACTGTGGCCCTCACACTCTGGCACAGGCATCTTTCATGCTAGAAGCTGAGATGCCTGGCAACTTGCTTTCCCACGGGCGTCTGTAGCTAGTGAATGAGCATGTGACCGAGCTCTGCTCAGTGGGGTGTGGAGCGGAAGCTGGGTGGGCTTCTAGGCAAGACTGTCCTTTCTGATAAGAGAAGACATCTCTTTCTAGTCCTGCTGGTGGTTGTGATAGCTCCTTTGGGTCAGTGAGGGAGGCGTGGCTGACATGCTGAGCACGGCAGAGAGGAAGGAACCCCAGGCACTGGTGACATTGATAAGCTAATGAGCCAACCCTGAGTTCCTATGCCAGACAGTGTATGTGCGATAAGAAGCTCAGCACGGGGACTTGTGAGTCTTGAACTTCCCAGGAGGACTTCCCACCATGGACAGTCTCCCACCGCCCAGTAATGAATTGTGTTCAGGGTACCCACTGGGCAGCTGTCACCCTAGTTCTCTTATTTGTGTTTTGGTTCACCCTCCTGGAATTCTCTACATGGATTTCGTCCATTACTGGTCCTGTTCTTACCCACTTAGAACCGACAGCTGCCTTCAGACTGGTGGCTACCTTATGGCATTGGATTTCTTTGACTCTTGCTAACCTTTTACAAATAGTCATTCACCACCACGTCCCTGTAAATCAGAGGCATTTCTGTTGCCACAGCAACATGAACACTCTAGAGCACATGCTGCAGTTGCTCTGCTTGGAAACTGGTACTTGGGGTTAAGAACTCCAAGCATCACGGAGCCACCAGTCCTTACCGGCCTGTCTGCAGAGATGAAGATGGGGCAATTGTCAAGTTCCCCAGAGCATGCTCCCTGGCCCTTCTAGTGCAATTGCTCTCTCATCCCCAGGAGAACAGGCAGGGAAGTTTGGGGGATGCTGCTCTGAACGTTCCTGCAGATGGAGGCTGGGTACTTGGGAGCAGCCAAGGGGTGGTGTTTTCATAGCCTGTCCATGCAGGTGGGCAAAGTCGTGTTACAGTCGGAGTACACGAAAGAGTTCACTCTTCTATTATGAATTAATTATTGTATTATTTTCCATACAAACAACTGTAAGCCTACTTTTTCCAACTCCTGTTATTTGTTGACTTTTTCGGTTGCCTAAGACAGAAACTTAGCTCAAACTGGCTTATGTGAAAGGGGAAATTCTTGGTCCCTGAAACTGAAAAGCCCAGGGGTAGGCTGGCTTCAGACACCGGGATCCGGGCGCAGAAGTGAGATCCTCAGGACTCTTTCTCTGTGTCTCGGCTCGGCCCTCCTGTCTTGGTTTCAGCCTCAGGGGCCTGTTTCTCCCAGGGAGCGTGATGGCTGCAGCTCCCCTCCTCTTATGTGTCCTCATGGCTGCAGCTCCCGGGAGAAGAGTTGAAGTCTCATTGGACCGTGGGTCACATGCAGCCAGAAGGATGGCTGTGCTGATTGGCCAGTCCTGTCATGTGTCTGCTCCTGAAAGGAGGGCCCTGTGTCGGGGAGAATGAGTGAGGGAGAGGTGGTCACTTCGAAGAAAACTAGGGAAGAAATATTGAGAACAGGTTAGAAATCACACACCATGAAACCGGCATTTGCAGGCTCAAATATGTGTGACCTTTGGCAAATTACCTAAATCCCTTTGTGCCTTAGGTTCCTCCGCTGAAGATGGATAAAATAAGGGCCCCTACCCTATAGCATTTATGAGCATCCCATGTGTAAATATCAGTGACAGTACCGAGGACAGCCTCGTACCTGGCAAGAGCTGCGTGTGGAGGAGATGGTGATGACAGCAGGCAGCAAGGAAAGGTCCATGGCGTAGCGGGAAGGGTGAGCAGGTTCTGCTGCCACCTGGCAGTGCTTCCTGGCAGCGTGTGTTGGCATCCCTCTTTGTATGCGCGCCTGGCGCAGCCGCCCACCACCTCGCATGGGGAGAGCAGGAAGCACCCTGCCGCCGGTATGCATGGGATTGGCAGCCGACCTGGGATGAGCCCATCTCTGGGCACAGTTCCAAGAAGGCTGGTTGGCACCAAGGATGATGAATTGGTCCAGACAGCTGAATTGGTTTGAGTCTCAGTTCATTGACCTTTCTCTGTCCATGGTCGGAGGCATGATTACAGATCTGTCCACACCTGCTCACCAACCTGGCCAGCCTCTCATTGGCTGCCCCTGAGGCTCACGCAGGTTGGAGGAGTGCCCTCCTCCTGGGTGACTGTGGGGAGCTGGTGTGGCGAGCTCATGGAGCAGTAAAGCAGTCTCCATCCATGGAAAAGGAACCTGCTGGGCTCTGCCCTTGACCCTCTGCTCTTCCAAGCCCAGCCTGAGCTAAGGAACATGCTGGAACTTAGAACCTTGTCTTCTACAGACAGGCCCAAGTCACGGAACATCAGTCCGCCTGAGGAACTTTACGGACCTGGCACTGTCCCAGTGAGCCCAGCTACTGACCCAGTTATTCCGTGCCAATGGGAATCATACTAGTACAGTGGTCGGCAAACTCATTAGTCAACAGAGCCAAATATCAACAGTACAACAACTGAAATTTCTTTTGAGAGCCAAATTTTTTAAACTTAAACTATATAGGTAGGTACATTGTTATTAACTTAATTAGGGTACTCCTAAGCTGGCCTTTGCTAAAAACGTCCTCAATCTGATTGAGGTACGTTCGCTGAGGTCGACCCCTTCCAACTCTCCCATCCACACTCGTCTAGTATACTTGTTTCAGATAAACGAGTGTGGATGGGAGAGTTGGAAGGGGTCGACCTCAGGGAATGTACCTCAAAACAATGTACCTCCCCCGCGTTGCGTATCCCGCGGCCCGCCTGCGTCGCGTCTCCCATCGCCCGACCGACCGACACCCCCCACTTCTTCTAACGCCACTTCTTCAAAATAGACTCGCCCAGGCCGAAAACCGACTTCTGTGCACGGGCTACGAAGTTTCAATCGCACTGTACATGCGTGCCCGCACGTGGTATTTTGTGGAAGAGCCACACTCAAGGGGCCAAAGAGCCGCATGTGGTTCATGAGCCGCGGTTTGCCGACCACTGTACTAGTACATGGGCACCCACATTGGAGGACCTCCATGACAGAGTCCTGGCTGGTACTTCTGGTCACCTGCCAATATCCTCCTGGTTCCTGGTCCCTTCCTGTCTGGGAGCTCTCAGTCCCGCTGTCTCTTGGACCATTTCAAGCAGCATGTACGGACATTAGTTACCCATCGTTTATAATGCCCATCACTTATAGTGCTGTCCACATACACAGTCTCCTGAGAGATCTCAGAACAAGAGAGAGGAGTTGTCTCTGAAGGCTGGGACTAGGGTGAGTCAAATGAGGTACTTGCCCTGGGCACTGTGTTGGTGGCTATCTGTGGCTGGATAATCTAGGATGGCTCGCTCACAGGACTGGCAGTGAGCAAGTTGTTGGCCTGGGAGCTTGGTTCTCCATGTGGCTGCGTCTTCCAGCCGGCTGGCTCGGGCTTGTTCACGTGGTGGTTCCAAGAAGGGCTAGGGAGCCTGCCCCAATGCACAAGTGCTTTTCAGCCTGTGCATCGTGTTTGCTAGGTCCCGCTGGGTGGTGCAGAACTAGATTTCACTCCTCGTGGGAGGGACGGCTCTCTGGGAAACCTACTGCAGGTCGTGTTGACTCAAAAGGCCCCTGAGAGCACAACCTCTGACTTCACGGAAGATGCACAGGTTTTGGTGCTGTCCAGAGGGTCCCGCGTGGCCTTGTGAAGAGACGGATGAGCCACATCCACAGTAGTGTCTGGCACACGGAAGGCACTCCATGAGTGGGCTCGCACTCACTGTCACTACCCGGAGGAGCGTCTCCTAGCTCAAGAAGGGCTAGAGGCCCCCTCTGACCTGCCAGGAGTAGTAGCTGATAATAATGCTTATTGAGTGGGGGCTCTGTGCCAGGTGGGGCAAGGGATTCTTTAGGTTTATATAAAAAACACTTTATTCAACATT